TAACCATGACTTGACTCTTACATGACTGAATCATCTTTGTCTGAACTCTGAAAACTATCCCGAGACAACTAAATAGTCGCTTCGGAATTTGAAACATGACATTTACTGATTTACTTGATTTGATAAGATGTGACTTCAAGTTTCCAGGTAGAATTGGATTAATAGTCTGTATTGCAGACCTCCACCTTAACCCGGCTGAACAACTATTATACGTCGACCTTAAATCATGAACATTGACCTTAAATTTTGAATGTTAACTCATGACTATGTACTGTATAGGACTGCTCCAGTATCAACTGGTCCCGCAAGTACAAAGGAATTAACTGATCTTGATCTTTGAAAATCATAATTTGAAATATCATGACTGATAAAATATCTGACATGACTGACTTGAAAGGTTGTTATTACCTGAAATCGTATTACCAATTAAGAAACAAAAAAAACAAAGATTTGTACTAGTTAAGAAACAAAAAAAAAAAAAACAAAAAACATAGATGTCAAGAGTGGGATTTGAACCCACGCCCTTTCGGACCAGTACCTGAAACTGGCGCCTTAGACCGCTCGGCCATCTTGACTTCATGTTTACATTTCCAAAACTATTTTTAATAACATATCGTTCCGTTGAAAAATTATTTACTAATAAACTCCCAGCTCCGCGTCTTGGACTCTGGACCTCTGGTTGTTGAATCCAAATGCATGGCGTCCTAATGCTCGCGCCCAAGCACAACAACAAACCACTACGCATATACCGGCAGTTCTCGTCATCGGCGCCCTTGCTAGGCCCACTTGGCGGGGGCCCGCCTATCAATTTTCCCGACGATCATCACATTACGCCCGGCCCGCTTCACTTGCTGTGGGGCAACCTCACAAATTCGAGACCCCAAACGCTTTCAGACACCAAAGCAGCACACGCCCTCTCGTTGAAAAGCAGCGTAATTTACTCAAGCGTGTACGCCGCGAACAATTTGATCGGCGCCTATTCAGAATGCGGCTGCGTGGATCAAGCGTTCAAGGTGTTTGACGAAATTCCTCTGAAAAACTCAGCGACGTGGAATTTGATGATCTCTGGCTGTAACAAGAATTCATTTTTCGATCACTCGTGGGAACTTTTCTGCCGGATGCACAGTGTTGGGATGGATATGGACGACTTCACTTACAGCGCCGTTGTTTCTGCTTGTGGTTCTTTGCGGCACGTGGCGCGTGGGGCCCAGATTTGTGGGCTGGTTGTGAAAAATGGGTTCTTTTCAGACGGGTATGTGATGGCTGGGGTGATTGATTTCTTCGCAAAGTGTTGCATGGTGGATTGCGCTTTGAGGGTGTTGTATGACACTCACTGTGAAAATATTGTGTGTTGGAATGCTGTGGTATCTGCTGCAGTTAAGAACAATGAAAATTTTGTCGCTTTACGAGTTTTCAGACAAATATGCTGCCATGGCTCGTTGGCCCCGAATGATTTCACTTTATCGAGTGTCTTGACCGCTTGTGCTTCGGTTGGGGAGCTCGAATTGGGTAAAAATGTTCATGGGCGCGTGATTAAAGTTGGCTTCGGGGCTAATGTTTTTGTTGGGACTGCTATAGTTGACTTGTACTCTAAATGTGGGGCTATGAATGATGCTTTCAAGCAATTTAAGCTAATGCCAGTACGTAATGTGGTGTCTTGGACGGCCATTATCTCTGGTTTTGCTCGGACGGGTGATTCGGGTTCTGCTGTTTGGGTCCTTGGTGACATGCATAAATCGGGAGAGGAAATTAACAGCTTCACTGTTTCTAGTGTACTAGCAGCTTGTGCAAATCCAGCTATGTTGAACGAGACATTACAAATCCATTGCTGGATTCTGAAGATAGGGCTCTGTTTGGACGCTGTTGTGAAAGCATCTCTAATAAACACATATTCAAAAGTAGGAGCCGTTAATTATTCTGAACTAGCATTCACAGAATCTGAGGATCTGAAGCAAGTAGGTATCTGGGCTAGTATGATTTCTGCATTCGTTCACAGTGAAATTTATGAAAAGGCCCTTAGTTTATTTCAGAGAATGCTAAAAGTGGGTATCACACCTGATAAATTTAGTGTCTCCAGTATTATGGGCATAATAGGCAGTTTAACGTTAGGGAGGCACGTTCATGGCTATACTATAAAAGTGGGCCTGGCGTCTGATGTTTCTGTAGGGAGTTCAATTTTCACGATGTACTCCAAATGTGGCAACTTGGAGGAGTCTTTGAAAGCCTTTGACCAACTTGATAAGAAAGATAATGTTTCTTGGACCTCCATGATTGCTGGTTTTACAGAACACGGATGCCCGGACAGGTCTATTCAGTTATTTCGCATGTGTTTCGAAGAATCCATTCTTGATGAAAAGATTTTAGCTTGTGTTTTGAATGCATGTTCTGCTCTTCGTTCACTTAGCATAGGTAGAGAAAGTCACGGATTTTGTCTTCGATTTGGCTTTAACGATCACTCCATCATTGATGAAGCACTGGTGAATATGTACTCTAAATGTGGTGATCTCAAGTCAGCAAGAATTATTTTTAATGCAATGCCATTCAAGAGTCGAGTTACATGGTCCTCCTTAATTTCAGGGTTTTCCCAGAATGGGCAAGTTGAGGAGACTCTTCAACTTTTTCACGAAATGCTTTCATCTAACATAAGCATCGATGCCTTCACAATCTCCTCAGTCGTTGGGGCTCTTGTGAATTCTTGTGAATCTAGATTCGGCACTCCTTTTCATGCGTACATCATAAAAATCGGTTTAGAATCAGAATCTTCCGTGGGAAGCTCACTTATCATGATGTACTCTAGAACCGGAGAAATCGAGACATGTGTTGAAGTATTTCAAAAAATTACCGACCCCGATTTAGTTAGCTTCACAACAATGATCGCAAGCTATGCACATCACAGTAAAGGACAGGAGGCCTTGCAATTGTTCGATCTTATGAAGAAATCCGGAATAAAGCCCGATGGTGCAACTTTTGCCAGTGTTCTATCTGCTTGTAGTCATGCAGGTTTGGTACAACAAGGGTATTTTTTCTTGAACTCAATGATTAGAGACTATGAAATCGAGCCTGGTCAAAAGCATTACGCGTGCATGGTTGACCTTCTCGGTCGTGCAGGAAAATTGGAAGAGGCTGAGAGATTTATTTTTAATATGCCTATAGAACCGGATATTTTGGTGTGGGAAACTCTACTTGCTGCTTGCAAAGTGCATGGTGATCGTGAGCTCGGAAAAATGGCTGCCGAGAAGATTATGGAATTGCGGCCCAATGATGCCGGTGCTTATATTTCGGTTTCGAATATTTGTGCTGAGGCAGGCGATTGGGAGCGTGTGGTTGGAATAAGAAGCTCGATGAGAGAAGTTGGAGTGAGAAAGAATGAACCAGGGTGGAGTGTAGTGTGAGATGAATTCATTCATGCCATTTTTTTTTTTTTTTTGGTGAGATTTTATTGTTCTGGCTGAAGTATATAGTTCTCATTTATAAAGAGATGAATATTTAGAGGTGATTGGGCTGGACGAGCCGAACTAGACAATGTTATCCGGTGTGCCAGTTTTCGTAAGCTTTTAGTTTCAGGCAAAAATGGCACGTCTGAGATTACTGAGACGACTAATCCGAAATGCAAGTCGGTCTGCTGTTCAGTTACTTCTTTGAGGCTGTACTCATCTTGAGACCGAGCTTCAAATGTTGTTCAACATGGAATTTTACGGAGTGTAGAGTACCATTGTTGTAGTTAGACTTGAAGTAGGGCGGTCCAAAGGTTTTGTTGATTGTTAGAAAATTTGCTACTCTGAGTTCTGATTCTAAGTAATTTGTTGATGATGATAATAATAATAATAATAATAATAATAATAATAATAATAATAATAATAATAATAATAATAATAATAATAATAATAATAATAATAAAAGTCTTGTTAGTCAATTGTAGTTTCTCAATAATGGTGTTTATAACTAATGGGTGATATTCGACATACGATTAGATAATCATATATTTTTTTTACAAATATGATTACTTCTATATTCAAATATCGTACTGTAAAATAGTTTAAATAAGAATTATTCCATATTTAATTCAAAATGTGTTAAGCAATAAGTGGAAAACTAGCACTCTTCGGATGTTCATATAGCAAAATTATGTGCTTTATAATTTGGTTTGTTTTGTATAAATATTATTTATTTGGAACTAGTTTTGGTATTTGATATTGTTTATTTATAATTTTGGTAAATATGGATTTATATTTGTCATTTCTCTTTCCCAAATCAAAAATTATCATACTAAAATGATATTATGTGTTCTCATTTATATTATTTATTAAATACTGTTGTAATATAGATTGACAATATGTAAAATCTATGTGTAAAATAGACAAAGATAGAAACAGTAGAAGAAGAAGAGAATAAGAGAGAAGAGATACGCCGTTAAAACCATCATCTTATTCATTCACTTGAGCCCTATATATAAGGGAATATAATGTACATGAGTAAATACCTAATGGGCTCATGGCCCATGCCTACAAATCCTATATCTAGGTAATGTCCACAACTTAATATTTACAACACTCCCCCTTGGACATTACCGCATCATGTCCATGCCTCGTTAAAAACCACGCTACAAAACCTAGTGGGAAAAATAGTCGAGGAAAAGAGTACATGACACATGCAAATTTATGTGTTACACTTGTTGCCTTCATTAAAAACCTTACTAAGTAAAACCCAATGGGAAAAAACTTAGTCAAGGGAAAAAGAGTACAACACCGGCCAACAGGGCCTAATCTTCAGGATTATAATTAACCTTCCGGGTTCGATCTTCGAGATTTATTTATCGCTCCCCCTGAAGGGAAAACCTGTTTAGTTTCATTCATAATTATATGTTGCTCCCCCTCAATGTAAAAGTTTCTAACATAAAATCGTCATTTGTTGCTCTTCGGAAGTTGATATAGATTCAAAAATATCATCGAATGTATTTATATAATTTATTTGTGTAACACAAACTAAGTTATCTTCATGATAAATATGAAGAAATTTCAATAACCAATGGTAAAGAGTTAATACCATTTGAGAGGTATATAACCAATTGAGGACCCATACTTCGGGGATCAATTATACAATTGATGTTATTATCCACCAATATCATATATCAAGTCCAAAGATAACTCAACATACATGAAGAATAATGGGATATTCTCAATATTTATCACGGTATCTCTCTAAGGAGAGATTTAGTAAATCTTGCTAGCAAATTCATCACAAATGCAGTATCAGGCCTGATGCAGTTTGCGAGATAAAAGTTCAGCACAATTGCGCTTGATAAATAAACTTCATGTCGTTTGTGGACTTCAAGTCCATTTGAACTCCAGGTCCTATAATATCCTCATTTGTTTCTTTGGATCTTTGTCAAATGCCAAATATTTGACACTCATTGGTGTTACAATTTTACATCTCTAAAAAGAGATTCAAGTAAATTGGTTGGGTCAAAAATATTCCTTCTAGGAGATGCTCGATCTACAAGTCGAGATAATACTCTTTGGTATTTAACCAAAAGTTTCATCCTTACTCCGTCTATAAACATGAGCTAACTTATTTAATATTTACATAGTGTTCACCACATAATCTATTTGGTCGAGATGATCATTTTGTATATTATCATTATACACAAGGTTCTACCTTGAATTTCTTATTTTACTTCTTCAGGAAGAATTTAGTTGGTTGTACCACATCTCACCAACAACTTTAAATAATGAAACTATTTATCATTTAATTATCTTTCATCTCGGGTACTCGAGTCCATCCAGGACTTTCACATATGACTCAATAGTCATTGTAATAATGCTGCCATAAATATTAACTTGCGGAATCATTGATAATGAGAGAACTTATCTAAATAAAAATTTGGGTCTCTGCATAAACTCGTGAGCATAATCTCGCTATATTTACATCACACCACCACATCACATGTTTCATATAAATATTCATTATCCTTCTGGGATATGCTATCCTCCTGGGATATATCGTGTAGCGA